CGCACAGGTGAACGCACAGTCTTCACTTCTTTCGACTGCTGATGTAGCCACTACTTCTAGCACGTTTTTTTTTTTTTTTTTTTTCTGGAAGGCCTTGCTACTTTCAACTGCCCCTGACTCAACCACACTTTTGAAACTTTTGCCCCTGCCTCAAAAACTCATGAACTCTGAGCCCTGAATCTGTTAATAAACGACACGTTAAGGTTGAAGGAGTCAAGACACCCCCTGGGTCATCAAACCATCTATTCGAAATTCGGCTTCGGCCCAAACTACCTGATTCTAATGTGTCTGCCAACCGACTAAATGCATCATGCCCCTGAGGTGGCAAAACAAGCGGGCAAAAGCCTTGAGTTCGTCTCTGACACACAAGTGCCCAAGGGGCTAAACTCTAAACCCTAAATCCTAGANNCCTAAACCCGAAACCCTAAATCCAAATGTAACCGACCCAACAGTGCAAGACGCTGCAAAGCTGCCCAGGAGTTGCCTCGTCCTCGCTGAAGAGCGCGCCGTCAGGCTTTGTTCGGGGCGCCTGCGAGCGCAGAGCTTTCTGGAAGTTAGTTTAGCGCTTAAGGCGTTTAGGGCTTAGGGTTTACGATGATGGGGGTTTGATTATGAAGATGACGATGATCATGTTGGGTAGATCAGCTTGGAGGGTAACGGGGTCGAATGAAGGAACAACTTGCTCATGAGAGCATTTCCTGTCTTTCGTGGCACCAAAATTACATGTGGGGCGGTGTTGTGTAGGGATTCGTCACGGATTCAGGATCGAGGGGCTTAGCTTAGGTGCGAGTGGCACCAATCAGAAGCGCATAGATGCCAACTTTCGCAGGAAACGACGTAAACTTCTGAGCTACTCTTATTGTCGATGTCGCTTTCTTTCTGTGGGAACATGAGCCGATGTGGCATCTTCCTCAACAGGATGACGGAGAGAGGTAGCCTGGTGGCGATGCGCCAGCCCAAGAGGCAAGTGCTGCTGCGTCGAATACGTGGTTAAAGGGTGCCCTCTCAAACCGTTCACCAGATACCCGCGATGCCAAATATCTGAGGAATCCTGCTGGTGAAGGTTTACGACTGCTTGAAAGCCTTGAAGGCTGTAGGGCTCGTGTACGCAGCTACAACTCTCCCCACCATAAACCCTAAACCCCAGATCCCGAATCTGGAAACGTCGTGTCTCATCAGAGTTACGGAGGAGTCGATTTCTGCCAAAGCCAAACAACCAGCCGAAAAATACTCGTAAACGCTTAATACATGCCCGGTAATAAAGTTTCGTCGCATCCGCTTAGAGACACTAAGCGGAGTACGCGGAGTACAGCAGGTGAGGAATACCCTAGCCTGGCTAGCGGAGGAATTATCGCGCCGGAATGAAATTATAGTATTA